AGAGAGAGAGAGAGAGAGAGAGAGAGAGAGAGAAGACTGCGTGGAGGGGGGAGTATGGAAGGAGAGAACGCTTAGAGGGAACGCCCGGTTTTTAGACTGGGAGTAAATTAATTAATTAATTAATTTTTAGGCTGGTGATGTAATGAAGGACATAATCCTTACACTAGCAAAACCAAAAAGGATTCAGGTCCCCAACAGGAGGGCACAGGTCATAAGCAGGGATTGGTGAGTGTCTCACACCAGAGAAAGCCATTGGTCAGGTCAATACAGGGAAATAGAACTGACAGAAACAAATAGAGAGACACACAATAAAGACAACCAGTGTTGGCCGCCACACGTTCATACACCTGAGCAGCCCAGAGAAGTCTGGTGATGTCTCACTCAGATCCTGGACCCTGATCAGTGACCATGTCAGGCCTCTCCTTGTGTCCTAAACAGAAGGACTTACCTTAACCAGACTTACCCCCAGGGTAACATTCTAGTGTGTTTCCTTTTCTGGTGGAGGTGTCAGACCCCTCCAAAGCATTAGGCAGGGATTCATCAAAAGGAATTCTGGAGACCTGGAACATCTTAGGTTTCCAATCCCCTTCAAGCCCCTAGACCACTGCACTCTTTCCCACTCTAAGACCCCAGTGTCTCTAGGGATCTCCAGAAATGTTGTGGGGTCTCCACCAGAGAAGACTACTCAGACATGGGTTTAAGCCAATAGAAAGTCTTTGTTAGCCCGCCAGTTACTACACCAGTGTTCAGAATGCCAGTGTAGCCCTGATCCTTTCCCAGGGTGAGCTTTAAGCACAAAACCCATATCCTGGGTTGATATTCTTCAGGTAACAAGAACAGTTAACCAGCAGCAGATCTTCAGATGCTAAAAAGCAAGGTTAGCACATCCAGAGACTTCTGGGAGAACCATGGACTTTGATGGATTAGCACTTTGTATTCATTTTGTCAGGTGGTGCTGTCTATGTGCTGAGTTTGTGGGCCTTAACGGTGCTTCCATCATGGAGTCAGTTGTGCTAAGGTCTGGGGGCCTACAAAGGTTTGGGGGTCTGTTACACTGAGAGGATGTGATACTTAATGATTCAGAGCAGGAACTCCTGGAAGGAGAACCCAGGAGAGCAGATGTCCATGTGCCCTGCACCTCATCCTCAGCAGCAGCACAGTTGGCATCAACAGGGCCAAGGAGGTGGGGATGGTGCTGAGGCTGCAGGTGGGGAAGTGGGGCATGAACAGAGCCCATGGGCTACAGGGAGTGATCTGTGGAGTGTCCCCTAGTCTGTGGTGGCAGGTCTTTTCCCTCCAGACCACAGAGACCTCATTTGAAATGGGCTCAGCCAGAAGAACCTAAAATGACAGGTTCAAGTTCATGCCTTTGAGTGGGGTCAGCAGGGAGCTTGGGATGAGGGGTAGCATCCAGCAAGCAACAAGTTTCATGTGTAGTGTCAGTGGAGAGTTCCTTGGAAGCGGGGCTTTCGCTTTCTCTTTCTAGTCTGGGTATATCAGCAGGACACTGTGTTCTGTTATCACTTGGATGCACAGCTGGTCACAGTGCCCACACAGCTAAGGACTGTCCAGTCCTATCCAAACTCTGCCTCTTTGTAGTGGGTAGCTGTTCCACCTTTGACCTAGAAGTACTACCCACATTGAGGCTTGAAGTAACTATCACACCTACGAGGCAGGGCTGAGACAGGAGCCCTTAAGACCCGAGACCCAGATGTGCCGGCCCCCTGGGTCCCGGAATCCGGAAGCCGGAGGGAAAACGAACAAAAGTCCCCAAAAAAAAACGACGGAACGCAACTCAACCCCCCACGAACCCGGAAACCAACCCCTTAACTGGAAAGTAAACCAAAAAAAAAACCCCCCCCCTTTTAACTATGTCAAGTTGACTTAATACTTCCACTGATACCTGTTGAAGATTCCTGGTAAGTTGGGGAATCTCTAGCTCTCACACCTGCATACCCACACAGCCACTCTGAAAGAGGATTATGGACCCATTTTGCTGATAAATTCAGCAAGGTTGGGCATCTGCCTCAGGTCATACAGTAGCAATAAAGCTGACCTTGCAGGCAGATTGGAGTCGGGCCGCTCCCCCTTTCCATCTTCCCTAAGCATAAGACAGAATGAGGGACTCCTCAGAGAAGACCATAGAACCTATGGGGGCTCAGCGTATGCACAGGACACCCAAACTTGACCAGGAGACCTCAGAGAGATGTCATCAGTTACATGGGCAGAGGGCAGTCCTGAGAGTGAGCCACCATTATCTTCAGCTCTCACCATATCAACAGGTCCTTCACTCTCATCCTGGTCAGGTCCCAGGAGGAGCTGATGCCTCCGACCCACACTGCCAAACATGTTTTCATTCCTTCCTCAGCTTCAGGCAGTCTCAGTGCAGATTGTGTGTCTCTTTATGAAGTCTTCCCCACCCCAAAGAGACTGAGGACTGGTCAGAGGAAGGAATGAACATCCTCACGCAGTGCCTGTGTTAGATGTTAACACCTTTTCGTCCAGTCCTTCTATTTCTACAAAGGAAATAATCTCAAATGCGGGCACTAACAGGCAAAAAGAACATTCTTTGCATTACATTTACATAATGATTAGGAACAGCACAAGGTCCAGGAGTCAGGGAGAAGAGCAGATGTCAAAGGCAGCACAAAGCAAGACCAGGGCCAGGTAGGACTTCAGGTCCTGACAGGACAAGGAAATCACAGAAAGAAGGAGGGTGTGGTCCCTGGGAATCACAAAGGACCCCATGAGCTTCCTAGAATGAGGACCTGGCACTTGGCAAAAGGCAGTGCTGTAGAAACAGAAGAAGCATTTATAACATACACACACATACAATGATGCACAAGTGTAATATAAAGAGGAGAGAATGCGGTTGTGTTTTTAAGATAGTAAAGCTTTTCATCTGAAAGTGGGATGTGGATTAGTATGTTCAGGGTTCAAATCCTCACTCTGTCCACATTGAAAACTCACACACATTAGATAAATACATGCCTGTTGACTTCCTTGACATGGAGTCACAAGAGTCTCAACCTAAAAGAGCATGTGCAAAGACTTCATCAGGTATGAGTAAGGAGGTTAGTAATGCTTAGACAATAAAACACTTAGTAGGTATAAAAAAAATTACCATTAATACAAATCAGGTTCCCACACCCAGGTGGCTACCAGAACATTCCTCTCCTGCCATGGACTGGCCCACCTGCAGTACCACGACCGTATGAGAATCAGGGCTTGGGTAGTCAGGAAGGCAAGGATTCGGCGACTGACAGACAGACAACACACTCAAAAGTGGTTTGAATCTGCTGCAACTTTACTTCTGCCAATCAGTAGTTTATATACAGAAAAGAAAACTATCAAGTCATACAGGGAACAACAAGAGCTTGGCAATAATTCAATT